CGACGTGCCGGCCTCTGACCGCAGAACAAGGGCAGTGTCAGATCAGCACCCGTGGCTCAGTCCCTCAGAGCTTCCCCACCGACTGTCCAAGGCGGCCGTCTCAGTAACTCGAGAACACCACCAAGACCCCCTCTCTGGGCTGGAGGTCCCTGGGCGCCAAGTCCGTGGACCCACCCAGCAAGTTAAAACCTCTGGAGTCACCCCAGCAACTTCCCACTCTAGTGGGAGCTGGCCCCCTGACCGGAGAGAGACGGCCAGGTCTCCCGTGGGCGGACACGTTCTCCAGATGCCCCCCCCCCCCAGGTGCAGGACACAGGAAATGCTGTCCACATAGAAGCACCGAGAAACGTTCTTCAGTTTAAACTTTAACTGAGATGAGCTCTGGACATTGCCAAGTCACAAAAAGAAATGAGAGGACAAGGCGAGCCATTAGAGGGCACTTTTGTAATCTTAGAATAAAGGTCTGTTCTCATGGACTGGCTTGCCCAAGGCTGACTCCTAAGCATTGCTTTCCGTTATTTCTCTACAGTGACTCATTCCTCAGCTGAATGAAGTATTTTACTGGTTGGGGGGAAGAATCTATAAAATCTTAAAACCATCCTGACCAAATAACTTATATGCACAGATGCATAACCCATGGACAGACAATAGTGCAGTGAAGGCCTGGGGTGGGGGCGGGAGCAGGTGGAGGGGGTCAGGAGGGGGTGGGAAGAGGGACAGCTGTATCACTGTCAACAATAAAGAGAAATTATAAAAAAAGAATAAGTAAAGCTTTACGTTTGAATCGTTGAATATAAGTTGTAAAAATAGGTACAATATGTCTGTATAATACCGTTTTGATTAGCTATATTCAATGCTGCTTTTATTTTTTTATTTTTAAAAATGTTTTTTTGTTGATTTTTTTTCTTTTCTTGTTTTTTTCTTTTTTGTTAATCTTCACCCGAGGATATTTTTCTATTGATTTTCAGAGAGAGTGGAAGGGAGGAGGAGAGACAGAGAGATAGAAACATCAATGTGAGAGAGTCATATTGATTGGTTGCCTCCCACATGCGCCCCAGCCAGGCCTGGGAATCGAGCTTTTAACCGAGGTACGTGCCCTTGATCAGCATCAGACCCAGGACCCTTCAGTCCATAAGTCAACGCTGTATCCACTGAGCCAAACCAGTTAGGGCTATTCAGTGCTTCCTTTAAATACATTCTGTTAAAAATAACTTGCCCATAAACTGATCTAATTGAATAAATGATTAACTTCCTCTAATACCTGACTACATTTTCCCCCAACAATAAATTAATGTTATTCCACAACATTTTGGAAACTATACTCCTATTGGGTATAAAGTCTTGTGTACTGGGATCATGCTACTTTTTTTGGAGTTTTATTGAAAAGTAATGGACATACATCACCGTATAAGTTTAAGGTGTAGACCATGATGGTTTGACTTCCATTGATTGTGAAGTGGCTACCACAGGAGGGTCAGCTAACACCCCTCTTCTCAGAGACACACAATAAAAGGAAATAGAGGAGAAAGACAAAAGGAGTCAGACTCTTCTCTAGAACCCTTCTGCCCAGGATTGATGTGACAAAATGGTTAAAATTGTTTCAGAAACAAAAAGTTGGAACTGATAGAATGTTAGCTGGGAAAGCAGATGTTTCACATAAAGAAAGCAAACGATAAAGTTGAGTCTATCCCCATTGGTGGTGATCTAAATAGAAGTGTCCAAAGAGCCATTAACGTTGACAAGCTAGTAACGAAATGAGTACGTAAATGCTCTGGGAGCTGGGTGGACCAGACTCCTGAGTCAGAGATAAGGGACCTCGTTCTCAGAGCAGCCGCGGAATCCACAGTATCAGCATCTTCTCCCACCGGCTCCCTGACCCCCACTTCTCAGGGGAGGGCGCAGGAGGGCCAGATGGCACCAGCCTGTGTGGTGCGTTTATTGCAAGAGAGGCACGCCCTGAGCCCAGGGAACCCACACCTTATTTTTATTTATTTATTATTTTTAAAATGCTTTATTGTTTAGAGTAATAACCATTGACCTCTCCCCTGCCAGTCCCACCCCCGCAACACATGCCCTCACCCCCCTGCTGCTGTCTGTGTCCATTGGTTACGCTCATATGCATGCATCCAAGCCCTTTGGTGGATCTATTAACCACCCCCCGCCTGCCTTCCCTCTGAGGTTGGTCGGTCTGATCGATGCTTCTCTGTCTCTGGATCCATTTTTGTTCATCAGTTGATGTTGTTCATTATATTCCACAGATGAGTGAGATCATGTGATATTTATCTTTCTCTCACTGACTTGTTTCACTTAGCATAATGCTCTCCAGGTCCATCCATGCTGTTGCAAATGGTAAAAGTTCCTTCTTTTTTACAGCAGCATAGTATTCCATTGTGTAGATGTACCACAGTTTTCTAATCCACTCATCTGCTGATGGGCACTTAGGCTGTTTCCAAATCTTAGCTATTGAAAATTGTGCTGCTATGAACATAGGGGTGCATGTATCCTTTCTGATTGGTGTTTCTGGTTTCTTAGGATATATTCCTAGAAGTGGGATCACTGGGTCAAATGGGAGTTCCATCTCTAATTTTTGGAGGAAACTCCATACTGTTCTCCACAGTGGCTGCACCAGTCTGCGTTCCCACCAGCAGGGCGCGAGGGGGGAACCCACACCCTTCATAGCGGGCAGCGATCGTGCCTGCTCTTTGCTCTGGAGGCTTTATCTTCCGAGGCTCCTCACTACACAGACATCCTGGAGAAGATAATTTCACATAACGCCAGCCTGTTCTGCTCCCAGGGGACGCAAAAACCAGCCCGCAGGCCCCTGGGGAACTGTCTCAACACTTATCTGCATAATCTTACCATCCGCGGTTGCCCACTTTACTAATAGTAAATTACTAAGTAGCTGATGAGGAGACTACACATAACAATATTGACCACATGTTTAAAGTCCCTCCTGATAAATAGTTCATAGTTCTCGCTCCTCCGTCTTAGCTGTCCATGCTTCAGTTTGACCATTCGGGAAAGGAAAAAAATTACAGTGCCCGCCTGGCAGGGTAGCTGCTAGGATCACAGGAGATCATGTATGTAAAGCACTTAGAAGAGTGGGTGGCATGCAGCGTGTACACAAGATTTATTAATGTTGTTACTAACTCAGAATCCATCTCTTACAATGAGCTGATTTGATAGAGAAAGTGTTTCCCAGGGCCGCCGAGGATGCTGGGAAATTTCCCACCATCAGTACCAGCTGGCTGGCTCTCTAACCCTGGGGCTGACCTGCATTTCCCAGACACCCAGGGGCATGGGCAGCTGGCCCAGCTCCACTGTCCAGGGTGCCTCGTGGGCCTCACGGGGCTTCTTATTTGCCCCGAGTGGTCCTAGGGCAAAGGCGCCGTGGCTGTCACACTCACGCGGGGCCAAGGGGCGTGTTGGTCCAAGTCCTTATCAGTGTGGACAGCAAATCCCGCCCCTGTAGGGAGAGGGTTTCAGGCTCAGGAGGCAGAGTGTCCGGGGAGCCACTGCCGAGTGCGCTGAAACGCTTCCTTGTGCTGAAGTAAGGGCTTCTTAATGGAGGACCGTGTCCAGTTCTGCTCGGATGAGGGCAGCAGAAGGGAGGGGCTGAGGGCTGTGCGTGGGGGTCCTACTAGTTCAGCTCCTATTCGGTTCATGTTTAATGTGGATGCATCCAGGCGTCCTTTGTCCACAGGGCCCTTGTCTGCAGGCGCGGCTCACGCCAGCGCCCACTCTCAGCCCGCCTTCCCGAGGCTGCGCCCTAGCGTCGCCCGGTGGCTGCGGGATGGTAGTTTAGGGTACTTGAGGCCTGGTCTTATTGCCCAACTGCTAACTAGTCGGGAGGAGATTAGCACTAGTCAAATCATCACTCATTTTCAGAGTTCAGAGGTCACCTGCCCGAATCCTTCCAAAAATCAAGGTCCACAGAGGTGAAGTGGCTGCCTAGGGTCCAGTAGGAGCTGGAAGGGGGGGTGAGCCTGTTATGTGTTGCTCACGTTTCCACCCGTCGCAGTGCCCGAGAGCGAGGGGGGACAGAGGGATCTTCGGTAAGAAGTTATCACAACCTCCTGAGGGATTGTAGCGGCTGGACACCAGATCCTCTGGGCCTTCCCCTGTTCTCTGCTGACGGGGACAGAGGTTGGTTTTGTGTGAGAGCAGCACCCGCTTCACTAGTGATCGCGAGGACTGGGTGTAGGAACGCCGTGGCCAGCGTCCAGCTGGGCGCAGGGACTCAGTGCTGCGGAGACTTGGGGAGACGCAGAGCGCAGGCAGGAGCCACTGTCCCGGAAAAGGAAGTTACAGCGAGTGGTGAGCGAGCGCCGTGCAGAGCTACATCTCAGGCTGCATCTAGAAGAGCCATTCCCTTCGCGGGTTATCTCACTCGTCGGGCCCATCTCTAATCGCACCCAGCGGACGATGGACACACAGCCGGAGGGCTGCGCCCAGGCGCCTGGGCTGCAGGAGTGGCTGGAAACAGCGCTGGCCCTCACTTCCCTGTAGATCAGTGGTTCTCAACCTTCCTAATGCCACGACCCTTTCATACAGTTCCTCATGTTGTGGTGACCCCCAATTTCATTGTTACAAATTGAATATAATTAAAGCATAGTGATTAATCACAAAGACAATATGTAATTATATATGTGTTTTCCGATGGTCTTAGGCGACCCCTGTGAAAGGGTCGTTCGACCCCCAAAGGGGTCGCGACCCACAGGTTGAGAACCGCTGCTGTAGGTGTTTGCAGGCATTTGCCTCGGCCTCCCACTGTTTAAAGTGCTAAGGAGTGAAAACGCTGTGTCCCTAACGCTGCAGCCCTGTGCCGGCTGCACAGGATGAGGGAGACCCTTCTCGGGTTCTGTCTGAGAGATCGCGGCGCCTCCCACACCCGACGTGGAAAGGACTTGCCTGCGTGAGGCTTCGCGTCGGGGACACTGGGCCGTGGTGTCCGTGGCAGCGTCCCCGCAGCCGTGGGCGGTGGCGCTGGATGATCCGTAATGACTCTCGGGGTCTCTGATGAAAGCCCTGGCCACGTGCGACAGAGTAACTCACTGACAGGACGTGACCAGGCCACAGTGACTGTGCAGCGGCTCCCTCGACCCGAGAGGGGATCCGAGCCCGCTTTCTGGTACCGGAACGGCCGCATGTACACGTCCCTTCCAGAGTCCGGTAATTGCAACAATGAGGCCGGCCGAGGGCGCGCCCGGTGACGGTGGACAAGCTGCTTTACCTGTGAGCAAGTTCAGCCTGATCACCAGAAAGCTCCGGTTTGTGAGAACCTGCGTTTGGGAGTAAGAATGCTGCTGCCCATGGACATCTCACACTGCATCTAGAAGAGCTACATCTGACTCGCTGAGTCAGACGACGAGGAAGAATGAAAACTGTTGTGCGTGCCCTGACCGGTTCGGCTCAGCGGATAGACCGTCGGCCTGCGGACTGAAGGGTCCCAGGTTCGATTCCAGTCAAGGGCATGTACCTTGGTTGCGGGCACATCCCCAGTAGGGGGTGTGCAGGAGGCAGCTGATCGATGTTTCTCTCTCATCGATGTTTCTAACTATCCCTCTCCCTTCCTCTCTGTAAAGAATCAATAAAATATATTTTTAAAAAAAAGAAAAAGAAAAAGAGAACTGTTGTGCAGGACACTGCCCACAGAGTTCATTCGTTGGAGCGTCGTCCTGTGCACCGAAAGGGTGGCGGTTTGCTTCCCAGTCGGGGCACATGCCTAGGTTTCACATGCAAGCCCTGGTTGGGATGCATTCGGGAAGCAACTGATTAATGTTTCTCTCTCTCTCTCTCTCTCTCTCTCTCTCTCTCTCTCTCCCCCTCTCCCTCTCCCTCTCCCTCTCCCTTTCCCTCTCCCTCTCCCTCTCTTACCTTCCTTCCCTCCCTTTCACCCTTCCTTCCTCCCTCGCCTTCCCTCCCTTCCTCTCTCTCTAAAATCAGCAAATGAATAAATAATTGTGGGCGGGTCCTTTCCTGGCCCTCAGCGACTCACAGTCTGTGTCAATCTCTGAGACATTTGTCTACAAGTGCCTACAGGGACCACGTGGGCTCCTGCCGTTGTGAGGTGGGGCTTCCTCTCTGAACACCCAGGGAGGTCACCGCTCCACGGGCCCTTTCCTTTCCCAGCCCTTTGACTACCTGAAGTTCTAGTGCGTTCATTACCAACTCCAGGGCACACAGGTGTCCCCCAAAATGTATACGCACCCTTTGAATAATGGGTAAGGCCAGGTGTATTAAGATACATCTCATTTCCACATTGAGCGACCAGCCGTTAAAGCAGGTGTACATTTTTTGGGGGCACCCTGTACTTTGGGGCGGGGGGAAACCCAGCGAAGTCATTGTCAGGATCAGGTGCGTGATCCCAAGTGCGTGAGGTGGCCCTAACCTTCGGCCAGAGCTGCCCCCCTTGTCTGCCCGCAGCACTGACCCGCCGCTTCCTGTCCCCCAGGATGGCGCCCCTGCCCCTGTGGCTGCTGTGGCTGCTGCTCCCGCTCGGCCCGCGGGCCCAGAAGCTGCCCACGCGCGACGAAGAGCTCTTCCAGATGCAGGTCCGAGACAAGGCCTTCTTCCACGACTCCTCGGTGCTCCCGGACGGAGCTGAGATCAGCAGCTACCTCTTCCGAGACACGCCTAAGAGGTACCCCCTGACACCCCCCCTCTCCGCAGGCTCATCTGGGTGTCAGCCAACATGCTGTGCCCGGGCGCTTTGTGGTTACCCTTTGGGTGAAGGGCGATTTTTGCATTTCTTACCTTGGGAACGATTGCTTTCTTTCCTTCAGCACAGAGGGAAGTTTCTAAGGAGGGCTCTCTAGGATTGAAATGAGATTCATGAACACACATGATTCTTCAAAGGTATGCAGTTAGCCTTAGAGGGATAACATGACTTTGACCAATATCATCAGATTTTGAAAGCATCAAACCCAGCAGTGATAAAAATAGACCCTGTTCATTTACCTTCATGCCAGCCTCATCAAACTGGGCTCACGCAGTGCTTCTAAACATTCTGACCTTTAAAAATGACATGTCTATATATATAAAAGCCTAACAACCTGTCGACCAGTCGCTATGACATGCACTGACCACCAGGGGACAGATGCTTAATGCAGGAGCTGCCCACTGGTGGTCAGTGCGCTCCCACAGCCAACCTCCCAAGGCCCCTCCCCCCAGCTATCTGGCCCCCTGATAGGCCTTGATTACCCACCAGGCTGAGGGACCCCACCCATGCGTGATTTTGTGAACTGGGCCTCTAGTATGTTACATAATTAAGTATATATGTGTATGTCCTTCATTAAGCTAGTTATATGTAAAGTTAGTTACTTTTCGGTACCTCAGACCCCTCTCAGCCATATTTCAGGAAAGTTTCTCCTTTTAGCCGGGCACTAGGGCATTCTGAAGGGAAAGACTGTCTCACCACCAGTGACCCCTTGTCCAGAGATTGAGGTGCAGCCGATCGCTGGGTCATCTGTCTCTTGTCACTTCAGTTTTGATTGACAGTGACAATGGGAGGTGCTCCCTCCCACTGTGGCCCACGTGGCATGTCACCCTCTGGTCCGAGAATGGTAGCAGGGGATTGGTTTTCCTATGTTGACGGACGCGGCCTATGGCTTGGGCATCATTTCAGCGCTGCCTGAATGACATCGTTTGTTTGAATGGATGTAATGGATTAGGAGCTGACCCGTCAGTAAAATAAAAAGAACCACCATGCCTTTAATGACATCCTCAAGAGTGAAGGCCCCAAATGCAAGGACGACGACCCTGCAGAGACGCGATGTTCTTCCATTTACCAGGCTCAGGCTGTGAAGCAGGACAGGGAGTGGGAAACATCTAGTCGCTCAGCTGAATTATTTTCAGATGAATTCTTCTTTTTTTAAATATATTTTATTGATTTTTTTTACAGAGAGGACGGGCGAGGGATAAAAGTTAGAAACATCGATGTGAGAGAGAAGCATCCATCAGCTGCCTCCTGGACACCCCCTACTGGGGATGTGCCCGCAACCAAGGTACATGCCCTTGACAGGAATCAAACCTGGGACCCTTCAGTCCGCAGGCTGACACTCCATCCACTGAGCCAAACCAGTGCGGCACTGTCACAGCCGGGCCGTGTGTCCATCCCCCTTGAAAAGTCACTCGAGGCTTCGTAAAAAAATCGGGGGAAGCAGAGAGCAGGATGATCTTGATTTTTTAAAACTTGTCTTAAAATCACTAGGTTATTTCATTCCAACAGGAAGTCTTAGTGGCAGAGAATGAGTCTTTCCACTGATTGAAACTTCGATCTTTACTTTTAAAATCTTCTCAAGTGGGATTAGGTACCTTTATGCAAAAGCTGTGGCCGCTAGCACCGTGGATCAGGGTCGCTGATGTGAGAAGCAAGCAGCGTATCTCGCAGAGACCAGCAGGCCTTTCAGAGACGCCGCTGGGCGAGGAGCGTTTGACACTGCGGTGACTGTCAGGGTGCCCTCGGGGTCCCTTACAAGCCTGTTGCCAGCTTATGCCGGTCAGCGTGCCTGCAGGTCAGCGCGCCTGCGGGTTCCTCGGCTGTGCCTGATTGGAATGGCGGGGCCCAGGCTAAAGAGCACCCCAAAGAGCCAAGTGTTGGTTCTTCACTCAAGGTGCACCCCCATTACACGTTTAGCTCAGCGTCTTTTCATTCTTCCACGCGGTGCTGTTGCAGATTTGGCGGGTGGACGCCGCGGTTCATGGGAGAGTCCCGCGATCATGTAGATGGCCCGTTCCAGTCCCTGTGAAATGCGTGGAATCAGCCTGTGGTTTTCCATGAGCCCGGCTGGGGCGGCAGAGTGGACCCCTCTCTGACTGATGGCCCCTCGCCCGCAGGTACTTCTTTGTGGTGGAAGAGGACAACACCCCACTGTCTGTGACCGTGACCCCCTGCGACACCCCCCTGGAGTGGAGGCTGAGTCTGCAGGAGCTGCCGGAGGAGGCCAGCGGGCAGGGCTCAGGTGAGCAGCGGGCAGGGCTCAGGGGAGCAGCAGGGGATAAGGCTCAGGGGAACATGGGGAGGGCTCAGGTGAGCAGCGGGCAGGGCTCAGGGGAACAGCGGGGGCTGAGGGGAGCAGCAGGGGATAAGGCTCAGGGGAGCAGTGGGCAGGTCTCAGGGGAGCAGCAGGAGATGGGGGGGTGCTCAGGGGAGCAGAAGGGGATAAGGCTCAGGGGAACATGGGGAGGGCTCAGGGGAGCAAGCCCAGGCCCCGCATGGTGGCTGCAGCAAGAAACAGCCTCGCCTCCTGGTGCTGCAAAAAGTCAGCGGGGACGCAGGGGACTCTA